TATGATTGAGAGATATATATGATATAGTTGCACGTCACAACATTGAGGCTGAAAGTTCAGTTAACTATATAAATCACTTCCAAAGTATTTTAGTTTCTATAACTCTTCTAAATTGATGGACGAAAATTATCACAATTATTAGGTCGTGGCAACAGCAATTTTTTTTCCGTGTTTTCTTTAAAAAATTTACTAACCGCCGCAATCTACGGTTGAAATAAAAAAATATAAAAATCCCGATTAAAATAGTTTTGAATTGCAAATTCGGATTATTTGCCGAACATCAGGTGTTGGCGGTAGACGACTCGTTTCCTCCGCGCACCGGCACAACGACACTTCAAGTCAACGTGCTGGACGCGAACGATCACGCGCCCAGCTTCGAGGGGCCAGAATATGACGCGTCGGTACGCGAAGGTGTTCCCGTAGGCTCCACCGTGATTACAGTCAAGGCTACGGATCAGGATGCCAACAGAAACGCTGAAGTGGAGTACTCTATTGTCTCCATTACGGCAGGTGGTAGCACCACGCATACGGAGGATGCAGCGACTTTCAGAATCGACTCCAGGTTGGTGCTACGTAGATTTAATATTCGTCAAATATTCCTGGAATATTTATTTATTCCTGGAATAATATTTGACGAATATTAATTGATTATAAAAAAGTGACCCAAAAAGGTGGTTTTTTTTTCTCTCGTTTTTTTTGAACCTCGATTTTGGAACTGTGTACCAAATGATACCTTATAATGAGATATCAATCACAGAGAAGTTTCAGATTGAGGTGACAATTGTTATCACAGCTGGGGGGGGGAGGGTCATTTATTATGTTTCTTTATGCAAAACTCGATTTTTTTACATCCAAAACGAGCGTCATTTTACATTTAGCGTAAAACTGCGATCAACCTTCATCGGCTGGATCAACCTTCTTAATGGGATATTCTAGTCTAGAGGCCAAATTTTTTATTTTATATTTTATAATATTTTAATTTGCTATTTTTACAAATTAAAAAGAATATAAAGTTTTTTGGGACGGGGTTTTTTTCCCTACATATTATTTATGTATATTTGAAGTATGTTTCAAAATATTTGTATTTAAAAATTACTACAAATAAGCGCTGTATACAATATATACTGAGGTCATGAAAAAAAAATTGATCCACGGCTCCCATAATTCCGTGATAAAAATTCTGTTCTACTCATTAAACAGAAAAATTAAAGTAATTCTTAATTAGTATGAGGTCTGTATGAGTTTGGCTGTAGCAGGTACTAAAATAAAAAAAAAATATTGAAAATTTAAAAATTGACATTATTTGGAAAATTAAATTCCGATTTTTGCAATTTTTTTCACCATTAAAGGGTTGTAAAAATTTTTTAAATATATATATTTTTACTTGATCGTAATAGGGATTATAACTACGCATATGCTGTGCACTAGCTCGATTTGATTGGTCAATTGATTTTTGAGAAATCATGGGAGCCAATTTTTTTTCATTACCTCGGTATATATTGTATACAGCGCTTATTTATAGTTATTTTTAAATACAAATATTTGGAAACATACGTCAAATATGTATAAATATGTAGGAAAAACCCGCGTTCCAAAAAACATTATTACTTTCTTTTAAACAAATTCGCAAAAATAGTATAAAAATTTGGATCTCTAGACTAGAATACCCGAGGGGGTAACCCCACCACTTTTACCAGTAACCACTTTTAAATTTCGGTGTACAACCTGTCAGAATTCCGTTAAATTCCTTGAAATCCGATACATAATTCGATAAAGTCCATTGAAATCCGATGTAGTCCAATAAAAATGTAGTCCAATTTCTCAAAAAAGGTCATCAGTTTTGATCGAGTTTTTTGAAAGCCCTTGTCCGGTCATTAACTTTGTCCAGTTATTAAATTTATCTGGAGGTTTGTTGAAAAATTTCGCCGGTGTTTCCAGACGAAGACCCGAAAAGTGGCAACCATACACGGAGAAAATTTTCTTTTAAAATTTAATGAAAATCGTGTTAATTGTGAAACAATATAGTATTTAGGTAAATTTTACTGTGCACTACAATAAATTTTACTGCGAAATCTTATTGTAGTGCACAGTAAAATTTGCCTAAATACTATATTGTCCCATAATTAACATGATTTGTAGGGTAAATTTAAACAAAAATTCTCTCCGTGTATTCATAAAAGTCTAGTGAAGTCTGACGAAGTCCGACGAAGTCCGACGAAGTCCGTGAAGTCCAGTGAAGTCTTAAAGTCAGAAGTCCAGGTGTACATATATTTTCTAAGTGGTTACCCCCTCGAGAATACCCTCTTCAAATACCGGATCTCGCAGACCTGTGATAATCCCATAATGAACTTTGATTTCATCTCCTCCCCCTTTCTTCCAGCTTTAATAACAATTGTCCACCTCAACTTGAAACTTCTCTATAATTAAGGCGATGCCGGAATACCGACATTTGCAGTTGGAACGATAACTTCAAAAATAGTGAACGGAATTAAAATCGCTTTTACAGGATTGAAATAAACATAAAATGTAATGGGGCGAGCTATTTTTTAGTAAAAACGACAAAAAATTAAAAAATTACCT